ACCATTATGCTATTGGATTCATGCCTATAAATAGGCTTCAGATTTCTCAAGTTTGAATATCCCAAATTTGTCCTTATAGTGATAGAGATCGAAAAGGGATTGGATGAGCTTAAATTGAAGAATTAAATTTTATTATTTGTTTTAGTATTATTTTATTAATTAAGAAATATTTGTTTGACTAAGAGTATTAATTAGAATTTGACTAAGAAATTATTATAGAGTTTTATTAGGATAAGGATTTAAGAATTTGATTATGAAACTCTTTTAGTATTTTAGTAGAAAAGTAGTTTTTATTTTAGTAGGGAACTTGGCCTATAAATAAAGGTGTAATCCCAATTATTTTTATTGGAGAGATTATGAATAAGAATTAAGTATTCTCTGCGGATATTTGTGTGTTTCTTCACCGATTCATTGCGAGGATGAGGTAAACCCCTCCCACCCCCTCTTCTTTATTCTTTTCTTTTTATTCTGTGAATTCTAGACCTTCCCGATCTACATCAATTTGGTATCAAGACCCAACTTCGATCATTCTCGATTGTGATTGTGTTTCTTGAGATCCGTCTGTCATCCTTAAGTTTTAGTCCCTTTTACAAAAAAATTTAGTAGAACCAAGTCCAACAAAAAAAATAGCCACTGCCCACTACACAAAACCTATAACACAAAAATCATTACCCAAATCTACGAAATTACACAAATACCCCTAAGACTTTTAAAATTATATATTTGACCCCTTAAGAGTTTTGAAATTACACTTTTGCCCCCCAAAAGTTTATGAAATTATATTTTGGGCCCTAAGTTTCAAAAATTATAGTTTAGTCCCAAAATTTTCTAAAATTACAGATTGACCTCAGAATTTTCAAAAAAAAAAATGGTTCTTAAAATTCTCTTCCAATCAATATGGTTTCTAACGTCAAATTAAATACTAAAGTGGAGGTTTTATCCCAAGCACAAATTGATTCACAAAAGGCTATGAATGCTAGACTAAATACAATTCAAGCATCCATCGATTCACTGAGAGAACTTGTGCTCGCTACAGTTTGTGAAACCAAAACAAATAAAGGTTTTAACTTGGTCTCTTCAACTGTCAATCAAAAAGTGGTTGAACACAACCCTCTAGTTATACCATAAGTTCCACCACTACAAGTTACAATCTGATTGAATGACGATAAACCGAAGTTATTCAATGTTAATGAGCCCAAAAGTTTTATTTCTACTCATCCTACAATAATTGCTTTTGACAAGCCGATTGCAAAGGGTATTCCTATAGATGAAAAGCAAGTTTCAAGCATAATTTTTTTACATGGGGTTGCTATTTTTTCATCAACATCCTCACCGTCCTTATATTTGGAACAAAGTGTGAAGGTTATGAAGATTCGAGATATAGATTCCTCCCATTGTGATATCCTATAGTATGTCATAGAAGGAAAATCTTACTTTTATGCGATCAAGTTTGAAGATGTGTTTCACCGTCTAATGCCAATTCTTTTGGAGTATTCGTGCTACAACAACTCTTCGGACAAGAGTTTTTTCAGCGGAAAAAATTGATGGAGATCAAAAAGGGATTGGATGAACTTAAATTGAAAAATTAAATTTTATTATTTGTTTTAGTATTATTTTATTAGTTAAAGAATATTTGTTTGACTAGGAGTATTAATTAGAGTTTGACTAGGAAATTATTATAGAGTTTTAGTAGGATAAAAATTTGAGAGTTTGATTATGAAACTCTTTTAGTATTTTAGTAGAAAAGTGGTTTTTATTTTAGTAGGGAACTTGGTCTATAAATAAAGGTGTAATCCCAATTATTTTTATTAGAGAAATTATGAATAAGAATTGAGTATTCTCTACGAAAATTTGTGTGTTTTTTCACTGATTCCTTGGGAGGATGAGGTAAACCCCTTCCACCCCCTCTTCTTTCTTCTTTTTTTTCTATTCTGTGAATTCTAGACCTTCCCGATCTACATCACATAGCCTATCCACCTAGTGGAAAATCCTTGCAAAAATTGAGTTTACAAGGTTTTACCCTATCAAGCAGATTGCATTGATGAAGTTCCAGTAAACCTATTTCATGCATATGGTCAAGGCATGAATGTCAAAGAATAGTGTCATCAATACCTGAACCCAATAGAGTAGTTACAGCTGCTCCACCAATAATAGTATTCCTTCCAAGTACCAATTTCCTTTTCGTTGTCCGGTCATGACAACCATGACCCTTGATAACTTTTAGGATCACATCCATTGTTGTGAAGGTGAAACCATTTATACAAGTGTACCAAAGAAAATTAAATTCTTTTTAAGATCAGGGACATGTCTCGTATAACTAGTGTTCTCACGATACCATCAAACAATTTAATTTTAATGTAACAATTCCAATGGTCTTGCAAGTTAAATCATTACCCATTAGAATTGTTCCTCCATTATAGGCTTTATAACTATCAAACAATTCCTTATATGAACACACGTGATAAGAACATCCGAAATCCAATATCCATTAACAAGATAATTCATCCTTGTGTTGACCAAGAATAAATCACTGTTTCCATTCCACCATTTGGGATACTCAAACTTGAAAATTTTGAAATGCTCATACTTGAAAAATCTGAAGCCTAGTTATAGGCATGAACCCAATGACATGATGGTAATTAAGAATGTTTTTCTATGCAAATTTTAAACCTAAAAATTCAGATTTGAAAAAGTGTTCTTCACGTGTCCTTTGCCGCAACACCTTCCATACAAAATTTCTTTACCAATTTTGGCACCAAAGCGATGGCCAACAAAATTTTACCAGCCATTGACTTTCTGAGTCACCGTCCTTCAACAAATCTCTACCTTGGTAAGAATTTAAAACTATCCACCTAAAGCCTTAGGTCCACATCTTCAAGTAAATGCTCATCCCCAAGCCCTAGGATGCCCCATTAATCTTACACCGCGAAAGATCAATCAAGCCAAGCAATGCTTGAACTATTTATCAGTAGCCGACTTTGTCAATATTTCAGCTGCATTTTTCTTTGTATGAACTTTCATCAAATTTACATTTTTCTCTTCCATACGCTCTTTGAGAGCGTGATACCTCGCGTTGATATATTTTATCCTGCCATGGTAAACTTGATTCCTCACCAAATGAATAGCACTTGGGTTGTCGCAATACAACTCTTAAGCTTTCCTACTTCAATCCCAGTTCTTTGACTAAACCTATCAACCACAAAGACTCCTTGGCAACTTCCATCGTTTTCATATATTCGGATTCCGTTGTGGATTAAGCAGGAGTTAATTAAAACATAACTTTCTAACGGATAGGTTCACCTACAAGTGTAAATATCTACCAGGTAGTAAACCTCCATTTGTCTAAGATCACCTGCATAATCTGAATCAACATAACCCACAACCTGTCACGTTGCATCTTGTTTTTGATACAATATACCAAATTCCACTATACCTCTCAAGTACCTGAATATCTATTTAATTACATTCCAATGCTCCTTGTGTGGATTATCTATGTACTTACTTCCAACACTAACTGCATGTGAGGTGTCTGACCTACTGCAAAGTGCAAACTATAACATACATTAGACTTTCCACTGCACTAGCATATGACACAAATGACATTTCCTCCAACTCATCATCTGTAGAAGGACATGATCTAGTAGATAATTTAAAGTGGTTAGCTAGATTACCAACTGATTTAGAATTACTCATGTTAAACCTCTTTAACATGTTCTTCCCCTATTTCTTTTGTAATACCCACAGTTTGCATTTTTCCCTATCCCTCCAAATTTTCATTTCATTGATCTTTTAGCAATGCCTAGATCTTTCATATCAAATTTATTTACTAATTTGGACTTTAACAAACTCAACTCATGCATGTTATTTGAAGCAATTAACATGTCGTGAACATAAAACATTAGAATAACAAAAAAACCATTTCTAAGCATTTTAAAATAAACACAGCTATCATAGTTGTTCCTCATGTAGCCTACACAAACCATAAAGGAATCAAACCTCCTATACCTTCAAGGAATCAAACTTGCAAGAAAAATGAATACTTTAAATGGCTAATAAACCAAACACCTACCTTTAGTCCGTGAAATTTTTACCCTCAAGAAGAGAGATTGAGACGATATTAGACTAATTAATTTTCCCAGCCAAACAAACACGTTAGATATTTCCTATGTGCTTCAATCACCATGAAATTGTAGGGTCATTTTACATATTCAATAATGTATTAAGGGTTTTTCTCAAACCTTATGTGTGTCGCCACCTCCCTCTAACCCCACCCCCTCCTCTCCCCTTTTCCCCTTAAGTCCAAAATACACTAAACTAACAAAATATGTTGCCAATTTTGGCCATTTAAAGTACAAAATGTCAACCACCTATTCATTCATACAAAAAATGTAATATCTGGATTAACTTCACCACAACTAATCAAAAGCTTGTTGCTGATCAAAAACTCATCTCAAAAACAGATACAAAGCAAATTCTATTAAAAGAAAAAAGGCCAAGGAGTGATATGGCACAAATTGGTGGAGGATGTGGCTCCACCAATGACATTTGCCAAGATCCACTCAATTTATACCTTTCTTCTCACACTCATGCAACTCATCCCACACTTATTGCCACCACGGCTCCACCTGCTTTAATATGTCTACATCAGGATAGTTTAGTATAGCAAAATACCTTAAATTATGAATTACATAATTTGACCCACTCTAATGGTTTACACTTAGAAGCATAAGAGCATCATAGCCCAGCTATTAAGAAAGATGTTATGTTCTGAAACAACCCTATATAAAATTACAAAAAAAGACCTAAGACTGGTAATCAAGCAAAGCTCAGAAGTTAAAGTGAACATCCAACTGCCAAAGACACATCTTGATATTGCTAATCCACCGGATACAAGTCTTTCTTTACAACAGAAACAAGTTCTCTTCAAGCCAATTCATAATCCTAAAAGCAAACTGAACTTCTAAAAAATCCAAGATGTATGTACAGAAAAAACGTTCAGCTCAGACTTCATCCTCTCGTAGGTCCAAACAACTCCCTTCTATATTGTCCATCCTCCCATTAAGCCACAGATTTCCTACTTTTACTTGCATAAATCCATGAGGCAACACTTCTATATGCTTGATAAACTAACACTAAATTAAATGGTTTCAAGAATTCTATTCCATGTGTCCCAAAATTAAGCACTATAATGTCAAAGTTCATCTGTAGATATGGATCACTCAAAAACTAGACAGAGTCTCTTAGAACTACGAAAAAATACACATAAATACTGACCCTGGTAAGCCTCATTAATTTCTTGGAATCTTGAAGTGGCACTGTCCTGATCTTTTTGCTTATCCGGATGCCATTTCTGCGCAAACCAAGCCAATAAAACAAGAAAAAGGGGGAGGGGGACAGAAGCGACTTCTCAGCTCAGAATCCAATGTCATACTTCAAAGATAAATCGAAAAATAAACTCTTTAAATGAGTGGGATAGCTTCATAGAAAGTTATGCATTCCTCGGATAAGAAGTAAATTTTACCAATCAAGCAGAAATTTATGCATTGGTGTTATTTGTGTCAGAGGAAAAACCAAAAATTAATACGGAATTGGTAAAGCAAATTCGAACCAGAGCAAGACGAATATAGTTTGATCGAATAGCTTCCTCTGTAGCATCATAATCCACTTCCAATATCCGATAATAATCCTACAAAGGCGATAATAGACAAAATCAACAGCTTGAATAAAATCTTATTATCCAAAAAAAATTACCAAAAAATCAAAGGAAAAATAAAACCCTAAATGCAAAAAAGCGCAGTAAGTGAAAATGAACGACAAAATGTTAGCAAACCTTGGGCTTAGATGCAACGGACAAGAACTCGAAGTTGACATCAGAATCTTCTTGGTGGTTGTGGTCTGTTGCACCGCTCTGCTCTTGAAGATAGTCGTCCCATTCGTCCCACACCATGTTCAACGCTGGGACTTACAGGTACGGGGTGTGCAAAAAATATGCTGTAAATATGGAGTTTTTCACAGAGAGAGAGAGAGAGAGAGAGGCGGGCAGATAATTTCCTTGAGTTTGTGCTTCGTGTACTATGGAGCCAACATTCTCACAATTGGAAACATTCTGCCTTGCAGATAACATTTCCCCCACAAAAATAAAATGTAAAAAATAAAATTTTACAATTTTATAAAAAAAGAAGAAGATGATTTTATGTAGTTTGGGAAATGGTCGTACAATCTTTAACTTGACTCAAAAAGTTTCTACATGGCCCACCTCTCCTGAATTTAACTCCAGAAGAGGAGATTTTATGCGTAGGCCCAAATTGACTACCGGTCATGAGTTTAAATGGGTTCGGTCGGCAGGGGTTGTTTGTTTTAAAAAAAAAAATTAATTTGATACAAAATATTATTGAGCATCTTTAACTTTAATTCAAATTTAGACTCAAATTTAAATTTGAGTAAAAAGTAATAAAAGATTTGTTCCAACCTTTGACTCAAACTTATACCAAGTCAAGGACACTTATTTTTTTACTCAAATCTTTAATGGTAAAATTTAAACATCTTTTAAAGATTTAATGGTCATCTGTATTCTCTTTTAAATTTGGGTTTGTCCTCATTTAAATTTGAATTTGCTTATTGGAGCCCTTTTGTATTAAATCGAACTTTTTACTTAAATTTAAACTCAAACTTGAGTAAAAAATTGAGTCATAGTTACAGATGCTCTTACCACCCTTATTTTTTTAGCAACATGTTCAAACCTAGTTCAAGCGGTCGTGGCCAACTGTTGAGTTCGATGGAATAATCGATGTAATTTTAAACGCCCTGTACCAAGAAAAAAGTGAATAATATTATTACTTTTTGTCTTCAAAGATGATAACATATAAGTATTGAATATTTAAATAAACATTTGAGTCTCCCTTAATTTAAATAAATATTGAAGTCTTTATAATTTAGTATGACTTTTAATAAAAGTTTGAGACTTGTTTTTTAATCTGTTTTTATTGAAATTTATATTTGAGTCAAGATTTAAGTAAAATTTAGAAATACACTCTAAGTTAAGCATGTTTAATTTGTGACATATTTGTCTAGTATTTGTGTCACGGTGATATTAAAACAACATTAAAAATACTAAATCTAAAAAATTAAGAAAATACAAAAATATAAATTTGTATATAATAAAACAACTAAATATTTGAAAATTTATCTCATACATACATTCTCTCCTAAAGTCATCTCATCATCTATTTCTATCACATGTTTAAATATTTAATATTTAATTAATTTTTAATTTAACATAATTTTTATTTTAGATATTATTCATACACGATAGTATATATATGTTGAAAAATTTTATTGAATTACGTATTTTTATCAATATTTTTAAAAAAATATTGATAAAAATAAAATTTAAATGATATAATCAAAAAAATGAATGAAAAAAAATTATTATTTAATAAAATAGGATCAATTTTTTTGATGTTTAAATTTTATGTTTCATCGTACCTTCAGATACAAATTATGACTAGTTATTTAACAGATAATTTGTGTCTAATTATAATTAAATTATTAATTACTAATATTAATTAATTGTATTATTAAATAATAGTCAGACTTATATTGTAATAGTCACTAATATGAATTGACCGTAACCTACCACACATTTTTTTTTTCAACTTGCAGAGATATTCAAGTCACTTTATACGTATCTCGATTAATTTTTTCTCTGGTCTAGTTAAAGGCAAATCATTCACATCAAAACTAAAATATTTATGAAAAATAAACCCTCCGATCTAACCTAATAAATTACCAAAATTTAAATTCAAAACGTGTGAATTTACATGTTATCCGCCTTCACCACACATACTTGCTCAACAAACTCTGGGTTTTCTTGTGTAAAGTGCTATGATTTCCCTCGAATGGCCCAGATTTGATCGAAAACACAAAATTCAATAGTGGAAGGTTTTTCTTGATCAGTAGAGGAAGTTAAAAAATAAGAAATGACTAATGAGAGGTCCGACTGACTTAGCTTTCGTTTATTCCATTTTTTAATTTTGTCTTCCTGACATTAAAATATGGGAGAATTATATTTAGATCCTCTAAAATTTAAAATAGTATACCTAACCTCTCTAAGTTTTGTACGCACTAAATACTTAGGCCCCTATCATCAATGTCCGTTAATATATCTATTAGTAAATTACAGCTAAAATCCCCGGAGGTCCCAATAGCTTGCTTGCTAAGATACGAACTAGTGTTGATAAATAAGACCTCTCAAAAGTTAGACAAAAAATGTTTCAATCAAAAATAGAATATCAAATATTTTAAATTTTACAATCAAAATTTATGTTATATTATGATATTAATTGAAATAAAATCAAAAATAAAAAAAAAAATTTAAAAAAAATCATAATTAGTATACAATTATACTATTTATTATAATTTATTTTGGTCAGTTAAATGATCAAATTAAACTATCAAATTATTTCAATTAAAGTTAAAAAATATTGTATCTATTACAGTTTGACCTCTTGTTCAATTTTTTAGTTTTATTCCAATAAATAACATAATTGTATACTAATTATGATTTTTTAAGAAAAAATTTAATTTTTTATTTTTTAAATAGAACATAAATTTTTATTATAAAATTTAAAATATTTGTTATTCTATATTTGATTATAATATTTTTTTGTCTAAATGTAATATTTCAAACTTTAGAGGTTTAACTTACAAACTTTAGGGAGTCTGCATGTAATTTATTAATAAATATTTTAACAGATATTAACCGCAGGAATCTAAATGTTACGCTATAAATTTCAAGGGATTTGTATGTAATATTTTAAATATTAGGACTTTAAGTGATTAATTGACAAACCTCAAAGGAACTGGGTATAATTCTCTCTTAAAATATCAATTCGAATTATCTATATAATAAAGTAGCTTACAATTCAAATTTCAAAAGATAAACAAAATGACTTTTGCTATTCGCGGTTGAGATTGCTTTAAATTTTATTTTAAAGTTAATCTAACGACTAATATTAACACTTTAAATTTAATAGGAATAATAGGGGGTCTAAGGGTGTGTTTGGAATGATTTTTTACAAATACTTTTAAAAATTATTTCCATAAATACTTTAAAAAAAATAGTGTTTACAACCGCTTCACCACTATCGTCGTTGCCACTGCCACCACCCTTGCCGTCGCTGTCGCTTGTCACCGCCACTCTTGCCTCCACCATCACCACCACTCCCACTACCCCCACCATAACCGTCGTCGCTGCCGCCTACAACAATTGCTATCGCCGTCGCCACCTCCACCATCGTCGTCACCGCCGCCCTCGCCACCGCTATCGCCACCTACCACCTCCTACCACCACCACTATCGTCCACCACATCTTACCCCTACTATAAATCGATACTTAAATTTATTTATCTCCTCTCTATATTTGTAATTTAATTTTAGATATGAATACAAATATATTTATTATTTACTATTTTTTATTACTATGTACCTTCAAGTACATATAATAATTAGTTTAACATACGCAAGGTGCTTACACCATAGGTGGCCACCAATCGGCCCCTGCTTGAGGCCTAGAATATCAAGCCCAATCCACGTGGAGCTTTTGAACCAGTCTTCCCTTAAAAAATTGACTCTCATGCCAGATTTGGATGTCCTTGGGCTGGTGAAGCCCATATCATAACACAATAATGAAAAAGGTTTTTTTTTTTTTTTTTTAGCGTGGGTACATTTTTTTAGACTTATTTGAGAGGAAGTATATAAATAAATATTTTACTCTATTAACTTCAATTTTAATAAAATATCTTGTAATTAGGTATAAAATTCAAATGACATTTAAATTTTTTTACTTACTTACCCTTCCTTAAATTATGTATAATTTTTATTCTTTTACTCTCTCTAACTCCTACCATTTCTCACACCATTACTCTCTCTCCCTCCTTCCCTCTCTCTTTATTACTCTCTCCTATTTTCTCTCTATCTCTCCCCTATTCTCTCTCTCCATCCCATTGATAATTTATTTTATTTTCAAGTAGATTTGATTTGATTTTTCATATCTCTCCCCTATTTTTTTTTTCTCTCTCTCACTGTCTCCCCCTATTTTTTTTCATCATTACTCTCTCTCCTTATTCTCTCTCTTTATATCAACGTTACAACAACGCAGTTATACTAATCAATTATAATTATCATGTAATACACCAAATAATTTCACAAAATTATGACATCAACCCAATTTATTATTCATTTGTTTACATAAACCAAATAGTTACATCATTTAGTATCACGATATGGTTACTGAATTTGGTATAATAGTANAATTTCACAAAATTATGACATCAACCCAATTTATTATTCATTTGTTTACATAAACCAAATAGTTACATCATTTAGTATCATGATATGATTACTGAATTTGGTATAATAGTACACTTTTGTATAATGATAAACCCAATTTGGTGTATATAATTGATATAATCATAACATAATATTAAATGATGTATCTCTNGATATTTATTGAAATAAAATCAAAAAAAAAAAAAATTAAAAAAAAAATCATAATTAGTATACAATTATACTATTTATTATAATTTATTTTAGTCAGTTAAATGATCAAATTAAACTATCAAATTATTTCAATTAAAGCTAAAAAATATTGTATCTATTACAGTTTGACCTCTTGTTCAATTTTTTAGCTTTATTCCAATAAATAACATAATTGTATACTAATTATGATTTTTTAAGAAAAAATTTATTTTTTTATTTTTTAAATAGAACATAAATTTTTATTATAAAATTTAAAATATTTGTTNATTGTTTAATTTATTATAACAAATGAATAATTGTTTGGTGTATTTTAAGGTAATTGTAATGAATTGACGTAATTGTATTGTTGTAATGTTGATATAAGGAAAGAAAAGAGTAACAATGAGACAAAATAAAGGGAGATGGAGT